ATTTTCAGTTTATCTGGTTGCCGGGCAACACGTGTTTAGAACACGTGTTGACTAGTTCGAACACTCCACTCCTTAATTAATTAATTAATTATGATTAACAATAGATAAATCGACTTTGTTCAAATTATGTTGAAAATATACCGCCATTCCGATCTTAGTTTTAGAGATGGGTAAGTAGTCGACTGATCAATTTTAGGAGGAAAAAAAATTGTCAAGAATTTCAGTAAAGATTTTTAAAAGATAAAACAGATATACATGTGTTTCGGTATGTGGGTGATGCTTTTTTGGGGGAGAGGAGGGAATTTATAATCCTTTCGATTTTCTTTTAAAAGATAAACGTATATACATATGTTTCAGTAGGTGTGTGATAATTTGTTTTACTTTCATTTTTTTTGGGGGGAGGGGGAGGAGAGGGCAAAATGGTCAGTGTGTGTGTTAACAGGTCTAGCTTAAAAACGAAAAGTCGTACGAAAGTGAAGTTGCATATTTAAGGCTTTTATATGCTAGAGATGTTACAGCAACTTTTTCGTCAAAATCGATTAACCGAAACTTTATATAATTGGCTAAACACATATTTACGATTTTCTCGAAAACGGCTTTAACGATTTTGATTAAATTCTTCATATTGGTATAAAATTTATCAGTTTTAAATAAAATGTAGTTTTTATTCTGATTGGTGTTCTTTAACAGGGCTTAAACGGCTAATTTTCAATATTGGCTTCCTCTAAAGTACCTTTAATTTTTTTTTATTTGAATCAATTGACCATTTCACATTAATCTCTAATATAAAAAAGATAGTTAAATACAAAATATGACAGAATTAGATAATTAACTAAAGGAGAAATGAGAGATCGTAACGGAGAATAGTTGTAATTGAGGAATCAAAGGAATCGAGCTCGTCCAAATGATTAGAACACGCTTCCATACGTATCATAAGCTTAATATAATAAGGACTCCTGATATATTATGTAAATATACATATGAGGTTTTCATAGATGCTATTGTTGATATTATTTAATATTGAAATTAAATATTAGATTACAGCCACATAAATATTAAAATTTGGATACATAAGAGTACTTATTAAAACAAAAATACCCACCATGAAATATAAATCAATATAGCGTTTAGAATTTTTACTTTCTCTTCACCTTTGTATGAAAATACTTATTTTTAAATTAAATTAGAATATATTTTATTATTCTGGGGCAGTTGTCCCTTTAGAACAAATTATAAGTACTGAATACATATGTATATGTGATCATAAATAGAGTAAATATTTACAATATAGGTTATTTAAAAGTAAAAATACAGAAGGAGAGAGAGAGAAAAAGATATGTTATAAGATATATAATTAAAATAACAGAAATATTTCTAAGAGGGTGGTAAGTGAAAGTTGTTTGATGCATGCACCGCACAAGATGTTTTTAAAAAGATAAAATGGCAATATATTTGGAGAGGTGAGTGATATTTTTTATACAAAATTAAATAACAATTTTTTTTATTACTAAACTTTCTTTTACATATTAAAAAAATAGGAAACAAGAATTGAATTTGAAACCTCAATTTGAAACAAGAAACGTTTTAATGTCTAGGATCAAATTAAACATTACAAAGAACACCTTTTTTTTACACTAAAGTCAAGGCAATTAAAGTAGTAGGAAATCCATTTTCACAAAAAAAGAAAGACTACCTCTTTGGAGACCTCCGTCTTTAGTGGAAGCTAGATTTTAACTGATATAATATTGACTCAATATATTGTCTTCAATAATATTGACCGTGTAACGAATTAAAATTTGTAATTGTTTTTTAAAGATTTTGAAAATAGGTTAGGTGTTATTGTTTGATCCACTAGCGGATCCAGGATTTAATTTTGGGGGGAGGGGGAATTCAGCCCGAAACCTTTTTTTTTCACAAAAATAACGATAATTACTTTGGAAAAACAGAAAGAAACTAACTACCTATATGAAATGGTGTTTAAGTTATTCCTTAAGTACTTTTAAATGTAATTACACGAAAAATAATACTTTAAGAGGTATTATTTAAATTTTTTTTCCCATAAAACATGGTTATATTTTTCCATTTTGGGGGGGGGCTTCAGCCCGAAAGACCCCCCCCCCCGTAGATCCGCCCGTGGTTTGATCTGGTAGATTCTGAAGAACTTTTATCTAAGACTTGGAGGTTTTGTGTATTTGATGGATAAAGCATTAATTAATTAATTACACACACATACGAACAGGTGTGCCCAGAAGGATGTTTCATGGGGCAAGTTGCGCTATAAAACTTTTTGAATTTTTAAGGGGGGAGGGGAATTTCGAGACATGGTTATGAATTTTCGGATTACGAGACAAGGGGAAAACATAGAACAGGCCGCAGCAAGTATAATTGTATATGATCTGCGATTTAATTCCACCTTAGCTTGCTTTATTGTTCAGAAAAGGAGAGCAACCAAATATCTTGGGAGGAGGTGAGGGTAGGTTCTTGCGCTATGGACCTTGTGAGGAATGGGCACTCCTGCATAGGAACATCAAAATCAGACTTATCATGGGCTGCTAGAAGACTTATAGTTAAAGGCCAAAAATCAAGTCATAGAATAAAACCTATTTTATATTTATATTTTACTTCTCCTCCGTCGTAAACCTATGACTTCTTATCTTACAGTATCCTTTAATAATATTCCACTTATTCCTGTTGAGCAAATCCGCTACTTAGGACTCCACTTGGATAAACGTCTCTCTTGGAATCCCCATACCAGACTGAAACGACAAGAAACTGCTCGACGTTTCCGACTGCCCCAACAAGACAAACGCTCTAAACTTTCAATTAATTACAAAAGACTTATCTACATAATTATAATAAGACCTATATGGACATACGGAGTTGAGCTCTGGGGCTGCACCAAACCATCTAATTCCTATCGTATCCCATCCTTACAATCCAAAATCCTCCGTAAAAACTTTATGCTCCATACTTTTTCATAAATAAAACCATTCATAAAGACCTTAATGTACCATATGTCGCTGATTTAGCTCGAGCCAGATATCTATCATTTCATGATAAACCTCAGTCCAATCAAAATTCGCTTGTTTCCACTCTTGCTTCTTCTTCGATCCCTGATAATCCTCCTAGACGTCTGAAAAGGAGATGGCCTCGTGATCTTCTTACTTAGAATTATTTAGGGAGTGCTACCACTGGGTTGTATCTCTTTAAGCCTGCACATATCATTATTTATAATTTGCGCATATTTACTAGTTGTATTTTTATACAGTTGTAAATTTCATTAAATAAACAAAAAAAATATTTTACTTCTATGTATGTTTTATTTTTATTCACATTGTACTCTTATCTATAATCTCTTAATTCTATTTTATATCTATATGTATATATTTATAATTTATTATTTTATAGATATAGTATTTTTCCCTTGTATCCATCTATATCTTAAAATTTTAGATACTGTAATTTTCTAGGTTTTTTCCCATTGGCCCAAACAGGTCAGCAAATTATATTATGCTACAACAATTGTCACCATCTATTTACTTTAGTTTAGGATCTTGTTACTTAGGATCTAGTTACTCTGTTTATATTTTAATCTACTTACTGTTTATAATTTTAATAAGGTTTTTCACATTGTTTATAATTTTTTGCCTAAATATTATGTCCATGCCATTAGGGAGGTGATGGGTACCCAAAAAGGGTTGGATCTGGGTGGGACAACATCCGTGCTTGGCTATGCGGATGATCTGGTACTGTTAAGCGAAGACGTTGAAACTATAAAACTCTAAATACGACAACGTTAATGATAGCCGGTAAAGAACTAGGACTCGAAATAAACGTGGATAAAACAAAATATATGGTTAGCTGCAAAAATGGCGATACTACTGGTGATATCGATATAGATGGTAATATGTTTGAACAGGTAGATAAATTTAGGTATTTAAGTTCTACGATAACTAGAAAAAACGAAATTGCAGAAGAGATTAAGGTTAGACTGAAGGCGGGAAATTCTTGTTATTTTTCTGTGACAAAACTACTTCGTTAGCGCCTCTTGTCCCGGAACTTAAAAATTAGAATCTATAAAACAATTATCTTGCCTACCGTTCTTTATGGATGCGAAACTTGGCCGCTTACATTAAGGGATGAGTAGCTTCTTAAGGTTTTTAAAAATAAAGTATTGCGTAGAATATTCGGACCGAAGAAGGATGAGTTAACACAACGCCGAATTGCGTGAACTGTATCCGGGTAATATAATTGAGGTAATTTCATTTCGGCGAATCAAATGGGCTTGTAAAGTTGTTGGGCTTAGTAACGAGAGAATTCCTAAAAGGTTAATATTCGCTGTGCCGAATGGTAAGCGTCCGAGGGGTAGACCGAAGCGAAGGTGGGAAGATTGCATTAAGGCCGATCTGAGGGGACAGGGTTCGGACGGTGAACGGTAGAGGGAGGTGTGTAATAAGCGATTGGTGGTGTCGGTATCGAACGTTCGGGTTCGCTAAGCATTTTATTATTATTATTATTATAAATATTATGTCACTCCACAATTCTCTATATCTTTTTGTATCTTGTCCGTTCTAGCCCAGAAGAAGACCTGCAAAGTCGGATCGAAACGTTGGCTTTTAATAAAATAGTTTTGCCACTATTTTAGTCTCTTTGTGACCTCCACCCCGGACCGTCTCCTTCCTTTATAATGCAACGGTCAACTATTCAATATTAAAAACAAATATTGACTCATTTTTTTGTAACTTATTGTAAAGGACTATAATTTTATTTTATGAAATAAATACAAATAAATAAATTATTCAGAGGTTACCTTGATGCCATGAGGGTTCCATTGATCAACCAATACGACTGGGGTTGATATGTTATATTAAAACTTGTTTATTGACCATATTACTTATTATTGACCATTAAATGATTTTTTTTTGTAATCAAAATAATAGAGAAATAACTAATTACTTATCGCTGTACTTCGAGGACATAAAAAAGCAAAAATTTCTAAACACTACGTGGTATCTAAGAATAAAATCACATGAGTTTTATAACCACCTAAAACGTACATGTGTATTTTATAATTAAATTTATAAAAAATGGCATAAATTCAGAGTTTTAAATTTCTTTTTAAGATCACTGAATACGAAAAAATTAGTTAGTATTGGGACGGAAGATGAAGAAAGGGCATGGGCATGATGAATAGTTCAAGACCGACTCAGCTGTTAGTTCTCGACCCGGAAGACACGCTTACTTTTGCTGGGTCTTGCAACGAAACATGCATTGCTGACTTGGAAGTGACAAATCCAACTCCATATTCGATATGTTACAAAATAAAGACGACCGCGACCCGTCGTTACTCGGTGAAACCGAAAGTGGGGGTTTTGCTACCTTACAGCAGGCAGGTTGTGAATTTTCAAGTTAAAGGTGAAAAAATAGACATAATGGACAAGTTCAAACTATTATCAGCAGTAGTTCCGAACAATGTTGGTGCAGATCCATCACAAATGTGGGAATACATCAACGAAGCAACAACGATGCAATCGAAAATCAAAGTCATGTTCATTGAAAAAACTGAGAGTGATACGCAAATGCAAACGGCGGTATTGAAGAAAACTACAGTACAGACAATTTTAGCTGGGACATTTCTCATCATTACGGCATTCTTCATTTCATTTTTTTATCATTCTTAAGTTATATTAAATGATGATTGCTGACGTATATGTTAATAAATAGCGTTCCTAAAGCTTAAAATTACTAACCAGGTCATATTTTCTTTCGAATTAAGATTCCATGAAAAATGTCAAATTCTTGCCTCAAACTGCTTTGGAGTCTTCTACTATTTCTTATTGGAAGGAGAAACTTTGTTCAATTATTTACAAGAAATAATGACTTTTTAAAACAGTAATAAGCAATCACACTCTATGATTTTATCAACTTCTTTTGCGAGTGTTCTACTTAGGTTCCCAAGTTCGATGAAAACTTATTTTTTATTAAAATATCTGGAAGTTTCACTCCTGCAGGTTCGTTATTGTCCAACTATAACACTAAAAAAAAGAGACATTTTCATCTTTTTAGCTGTTTAGAAACACTTCTGGGTGCATTCAAACAAAATAAATGAATCTTGTCTAGTTGAACTAAAGTCCACTAGGGTAAAAAAAACAGTAGTTGACAGTATAACCAATACCTGACATACTCCTTTTAAAATGTGAATAATAAAATTTCAGGACCTCCCAGACCCCTATTTCATATATTTTTAGTTTCTATATTCCATTCTTGTACATTTGCTTGCTTTGCTTTAGTCTTGCTGGAATTAACCGAAAGAATGAATACCAAATTAGGAAGGTACTTCACTGTTCACTTAGGTATCCCAGAAAAAAAACCATCTGTCAGTAAGGATACCTTATGTTTGAATTTTTCTCTTTTACTACTTTGGTTTATTTATTATTTTATTTTTTATAGTGTTTTTTAAATTATGTTTTATTTATTTTTAACCTATCTTGATGAAAAAATTAGAAATTAATTGGGTGTCAGCTACTCAATACTCAATATAATGGATCTTCAAAAATGAGACCATTCACTACTGTCAAGTTAAAAAAAATGCTAATGATTTTGATTAAATATATAGCAAAAATAGGTTTTCCTGTTACCAAAACTGGTTCTTGTCAGTGACCAGCATTTATTAATAAATTTAAGTCGGTAAAACACAAGAAGTAAGTTAAAGTTAATTTTTGTAAATCTTGAAATGAAGAATATGAAATTTAGATTAATTACATATTTTTTATCACCCCTGTCAGCTATTGGAATATTCTTCATCTTAATTTTCAATTTTTTTAAAATTTAGACGAATGTTTCATGGATTTGAAATATGGCAAGGTGAGAAATAGTTCTTTAAAACGAATCCAAGAAAAATATAATAACATAAATATTTTAGTTTTTACACGCAAAAGTTGAAAGAAATTTCCTCAAGCATTTACTATTGGTGCATTTACCCTACATCTGTTGGAAGTGTTTTGTAAAAAATGTGATTTTAATCAGTAGTGGTAAGTGTTAATAAATAAATGTCTACAGCAAGTTAAAGTTATATGTGGAGAAAATAAAATCCCTACGCGCTATGTACCTTCTATTTCTTGTCTGATGGTTGAACAAGTTTTTATTGGAATTTCTCTCTTACTTAATCTCTATTAAATGTTTAGGAACACACATACAGTTCAAGGGAGGAAGGATTTCAAATTTATTTAAGGCGAGCGGTTTATTATAAACCTGCCAATGCTTTATAATTTGAAGAATATGATGATAAAATTATGCTTGATGCATGAAAAAAAAAAAAATCAATAAAATGATAAGTTGCTGTATAAACATGGAGTTTTTTTTTTTTTTTTTTCTGTCCACCACTTTCTCGCCTTTTAGGCTATATGAAATGAAAATAGATTTTTATTATCCTGGGACTTTTGTTCCCTTAGGACATATTATAGATACAGAGGAAATTCCTGTGTGGCCATAAAATTTAATAAAATATTTACAATGCTCATTAAAATAAAAATATTGGATGAAAAATAAAACAAAACCACTAAATACATACATACAATACAAACATGTGAAAATAAAATAACGTAATTAAACAAAACCATTTCTGGGAGAACTTAAAAAGTTCTCTTATCTACTTTTCATGTTCAATCGGGGGGCATGTCGGATATCGGGAGGGATGGTATTCTAGGTGGAGACGGCTTGAATTATAAAGGATTATATGGAGAGAGGGTGCGGGATTAATGCCACAGTTAAAAGTCCCCGACACCTGGGCAATTATTTTGTATCTTTTTTTTTTTTTTGGGTCCTCCCCTTCCTCGCCTTTAAGGCTATACGGGAGTTTTACCGGGCCAGGGAGTGTGGGCGGGGATTTTAACACTAAACATACCATAGCGGGTCAAATGACCCATTTTGAACTTTTCCATTGAAAATGCACGTATAATTTTATTGCGTTTGCACATTTGACTTCATGACTTTTTCTAAGTAATTAATGTACAGTTATAAAAATATTTTTGTTTTGTTTTGTTTTGTTTATTCTGAGTAATCCTTGTTGTATACCGATATCTACCACAACAGGTCATTTGACCCGGAGAGAATTTTTTTGTTTTATGAGATTATCTAGTCATATTTGTAGTCAGTAAGTTGCACATTCTTCCAAAGACTGTTGCGTAAAGTAGTTCAACGAAAATAGCTCAGAATAATTTCAAGAAAATATCAAATTTTAGATTGAAAATAGCTTTTTAGTGTAAGAAAAGGTGGCAAAAATTGAAAGTCTTGGTAAGTACTTAGCTTATATTTTATTTTGATAGCTATAGTAATACAGATCATTTTTTACCCAGAAAAATGTCGAAGCAAACAAGACAGTACAAGTTCTTAGAAGATATAAATAATATTGGCGAAGAGTTTTCAGAAATTAGTGAAGATGAATTTTCTGAAAATGAAGATATATCGGTTGCAAACACTAGCGGATCCAGGATTTAATTTTTGGGGGGGGGCTTCAGCCCGAAACCTTTTTTTTCATAAAAATAACGATAATTACTTTGGAAAGACAGAAAGAAACTAACTACCTATATGAAATGATGTTTAAGTTATTCCTTAAGTACTTTTAAACGTAATTACACGAACAATAATACTTTAAGAGGTATTTTTTAAATTTTTTTTCCCATAAAACATGGTTATATTTTTCCATTTTGGGGGGGGGGGGGCTTCAGCCCGAAAGCCCCCCCCGTAGATCCGCCCGTGGTTGCAAATAAAAATGAGTTTGATTCTACAAATACTGACGATGAAGAGGAAAATATTGTGAATGTATGTAGTGGCCGAAAAAGAATAAGATTACTCACAAGTTCGGAAGAAAGTGAAGTAGAAATAAATGAAGAAAATGTTGCGAATGATGGATCTGTTTGGCAACAAATGCAAATAGGTGGCACACCTGGAAGAGCACCACTGCGATGAACTATGAGTTAAAAGTTTTTATTTTTTGCTTTTGTAATAGAAATGCTCAACATACTATTTTGTTTAATCATAATAAATTCAATTTATATTTTTATTTCCTTCCTAACATCCATATTTCATACATTCAAGCATGAAACACAAAGTCGAGTCATTTGATCCGCTATGGTAGAAATAGGTATATATTAAGTCTTGGTATGATTAGTGTTAAAAACTCCTCCGGGCACCGGGACTCGAACTCGTGACTATTTTTTTTTATCAAAGTCCTATGTATCAGGCTGCCGGACAACGGCGGTGCAGTGCACATGCATTAGCCCACTCGGCCACCCCGCGCAATTATTTTGTATCTCCAAAAACTTCTGGTTATCATGTGGTTGGTTGCTGGGCAACGCGTGTTTTGTACACGCGTTAAACAGTTCGGCCACCCATTCTCCTTCATGTAAATAATTGAATGCAGTATTATTTTTGTTTTCTACAGGCTGTAACTTTCATATCATATCAACTATTTCTTAACCATAAAAAATTAATATTTCATGAAAACAGCAACACAACATAATGCAGTTATAGGCTGTCTAGGTGATAGCTTGCACAGGTTATCATAAAGCTCAGACACACAGAACGCGATATCTTTTTTTGTAAAGTTGATTTGTGATGGCGCTCTGTGTGACTGTGATAAGGTAATAGATAATAACGTAATTATCTGGCCGTAAACAGCGATAATATTAACGGACTCTAGGCGACTATGATAGTGGAATAGATAATAGCATAATTAGATTTGCGTAACGGCGATATCGTATCGCCGAGATAAGGTTCTGTGTGTAGTTGGTTCGGAATACTGGAACTGCTATTTTATAATAGGCATGTGATAACTGAACGTTGGACCCGTTACCAGTTTTCAGAAATAACAGATACGGAATAACCGGTATTTTCATTAGTATTATGTAACGTCCGCTAGATGAGTATTTTGTCTAAGCCTTCCAACCGGTTCCAGAAATACTTAGAGGTGGACGTTTCTGCTACTTTTGAAAAACGTAAATGAACTATTCGTTGACAAAAAATAACGGTTCTTAAGAGCTGTTGAAAAATAATAGTTCATAGAACAACGCAACAATTCAAGGTGTAGAACCTATTCGTTTGATAACAGTCCTATTCGTTTTAAAACGGATTCAATTCATTTAATAACAAGTCTGGAAATGAATGAAACGTTTTATGTATAAAGTATGCCATTGTTCGAGCTTCAAATTGATAACCTTTTAATTTATTTATAATATTAGCCGAATGCTTAATCTTAAAAATTACTGGTAATAATTTCGATGATGCCCGGAGCCTTTTGGGGAGGAGTGGGGACGCTTATTCTAGAGGATTGTTTACATTTAGGTTACAGTTATGTTAGGCTATCTCAATCCCCCACCACTTTTTGCTCCATAGGCACCTCAAAACCGTTAATTTTTCATATTTTATTAGCAGTATTTTAGTTTAGAAGCTTAATTTTGTTGTTTAAGTGATATGTTTAGTTTATTAATAGGTAGTTTTTTATTGGATAGTTATACGTTTTAGTGTTTAAAGTGGTAGTTTTGGTTTAATGTTCAGTGATAGGTTTCATTTTCACAGACTCTTATTTTATTAGTGATATTTTGTTTAAAAGTTTAATTATGTTGTTTTAGTAATATATTTAGTTTACTAATAGGTACTTTTTATTTAATAGTTATACATATTAGTGTTTAAAGTGATAATTTTGATTTCTTCTTCATACCCCCAGTTCCACTCTTCTACTGTATCCTCCCAGATAATCCTTTTCCAACTCCTACGATCTTCTTCTATTTTCACTTGGAGATACTATGGACACCGTCCTGTACGATCTGGTGACTTGAAGCAGAGCCATTTTGACTCCAGGCAGGGGCTACTCAAAATAAAACCTTTATAAATGCTCACAGTTTCTAGGCATCTGAGACCCCAAAAGGTGCCCTCTATACAACTGAATCTGTTAAGAGCTATGGTCACTCTACTTTTCAAATAGTCCAAATAAGCTATCACTTCGAACTTTTTTCAAATCTTAATGTTGAGGTAGGTGACAACCTCACTCGGAGGTATTGTTGATCTTTGATCATTGCATAACAATCATTTAAAGAAATTCTTCAACAAATCATAATTTATCTCTTTAAAAACTTATCAGGAAAATTCACTTAAATACAAGGATTTTTCTTTAGTACACTACATGAGCCATTGAATACTAAAATGGTGTAAGTAAAAAACTGAAGTTTTGAATTAATCAAATATTATGGAGAAATTCAACAAATTAATAATAAATAAATTCAATTTATTTGTTAAAAATAATCTGTCTCTAGCATATCCAATCAGTTAATGCACTTAATACTTAATTAATTATTTATTATAAAAATTACTTACACCACTTTTGCAACCAGTGCTTCTATGTTACAGTTTCAATTCATAAAAATTGTTGTATTCTTAATTTACGTGTAAAGTCTTCACAGAAAACTTAATAGAATTAAGAAATATGGAAATTAGAAATTACCATATTACAAAAATTAACCAAGAACACATAAATGTAGAAAAACTCTTGAATCTACACAAACTATAAAGAATATTTTTAAAAATTAGTGCTTTACTTCTTAATAAATAAAAATTCTACTTTATTAAATGGAATAAATACCATGGGTCATTCCTTTCCATATCATACAGGGGTGGGTCAGGACACCCAGTACAGTTTTTAATGAAAATTTTATATTTAGGAAGCGAATACACACATAAGAAAAAAGTGTCAAATTTTACCTACTTATAATAAGCAGTTTCATATTTGAAAGTAAGAGATTCGAACTTTTTTGGAAACAAATTTGAGCTGGAACTAGCATGTTTGCATCTTTGCTTCTCTAAGTAAAGTAGTATTTATTGAACTAAATTCTTGAAAATGTATTCATTTGTTCTAACATGTTTGGAGAATTGGATGATACCAAGATTAAGATTTTCCTAGCCTATAATTATTTTTTGATATAAAAAATGAAAATAATTTCAAAGTTGAAATACATGATTGGAAAAATATCTTTATCTAAATTCTATCCAGATTATTGAAGATGAATGAGGTTCTATTGAAATTTTTTCTGTATGCCCTCCCCTCTAGAAAAATAACCAAAATTATCCTTATCTTTTTCCCATAATATTTTTTCTCAACTCTCTCATTCATTACGCTAGTTCAATTAGTAAAATATATTAATTAGTTCAAACTTTCCCTGTACATCTATTTAAGGGGTGCCCATCCCCTCCAAGGTCGATGGCGCATGAACCATCCCCCTCTCTCCAAAAATTGTATTTCACTCCCCTTCTTAAAAGCAATGCAAGCAAAAGTAAGATTAGACAATTCCAAGATCATATACAATTATACCTGGAGTGGTA